GCTACTCTGGTTTTATGAGTGGTTAATTGGAGATAAAAGTCTCACGGACTTTGATGCCCAGGCTGGCTTTGAACCGCAATCCTCAGATTTCAGGTGTGAGCCACCAGCGCCTGGCTGTAAATATAATTCTTAATGGCAACATAGTCCCTGAATAGGGCCAATACAATTCTATCAAAATATCAATGATATTCTTTATAGAAATAGAAAAAAAACTGTCTTTATATTTACATGGACTACAAAAAAAAAAAAGCAAACAAATTCTGAGCCAAAAAGAACAAAGCCAGAAGCATCAACTACCTGACCTTAAAATATATAACAGAGCAGTGTGGTAACCAAAACAGCACAATAGTGACATAAGAACAGACACGTACACCAATCTAAGAGAACAGAAAGATGCACTTAAGACTTTTGATGGGGACTGGGAAGGTGGCTCAGTGGTAGAGTGCTTGCCTTGCATGCATGAAGCCCTGGGTTCGATTCTTCAGCACCACATAAACAGAAAAACTGGGAGTGGTGCTGTGGCTCAAGTGGTAGAGCACTAGCCTTGGGCTGAAGAGCTGAGGGACAGCGCCCAGGCCCAGAGTTCAGGCCCCACAACTGACAAAAACAAAAACAAAAACAAAAGACTTTTGATGTCTGACAAAGGTGCCAGGCACACAGTGGTAGCGTACATGTGCTGGGAAAACTGGATAGCTAGATACAGAATATCAACTCAAAATGGCTTAAAGACTTAAGTGTAAGATCTAACAAATGATTAGAAGAGAACACAGGAGAACTTTAATAAAACAATTATGTAACTTGATATCTATTATGGATTGAAGATGAAATATTCCCTGAAAGGCCTGGTTGTCTGCTGGCAAGGCTTTCTGTAAATGACTTGGAGCTCATCAATGGAATCATAACTGATGGCAGTAGTGGGAGGTGGTGGACACTTAGGCCCTTGGTATTCTGTGGAATATGGTCCCAAGACCGCTGTTAAGGGAAACCTGAGAATGCTCAGGATGCACAGAGCTCAGTATTCAGACTCGCTTCACTGTTCTCTTAATGACACTCAATTTCTAAAGAGAGAGCACCTTTCAAACTGAATTTGTGGTACTGTGGCTTGAACTCAGGACTTGGGTGCTGTCCTTTAGCTTTTTCATTCAAGGATGGCACTCTACAGTTTATACCACAATTCCATTTCCAGCTTTTTCGTTCTTTCTTTCCTTATTATTATTATTTTGGTGGTTAAGTGGAGATAAAGAGTTTTATACTTTCCTGCCCAGGCTGGCTACAAACCATGATCCTCAAATCTCAGCCTCTTGAGTAGCTAGGATTATAGGCGTAAATCTATAACAATCTGAAATTCTTATCACTTGAATTAAGCACGGCATGTGTTCTTCTTGTCCTGGGAGGATACCATAACTTTTACTTGGCTTTTTGGGTACCATTTACTTCTTAGGAAATGTATTTTCACAAAATTAAGGGCAGGGAAATGCACAATAGATTGCACAATGACTTAAAGGCTAATGGAGGACTGAGACCTTTCCCACATCAACTGAGCTCTGCAATACGCACATAAGAATAAAAAGGTTTTATGTTGAATTTTTTGTTATTTCTTATCATACTTCATTAAACTGCATGCGCTATATCTATAAATAGTTTATTGTGTGGCATATCACAGTGAATCCCATTAATTTGTACAATTAATGTATGTAATTGCTCGGTGTGATGAACACATAATTTCTAGGTACAAAGGAGGATTGTGATTTCAAGATCACTACTGGCAAATTAGCAATACCTTATCCAACAAACAAAATGCAAAAAAATCAAAGCTAATAAACAGGGCTGGGGGTCAGCTCAATGGCAGAGTGCAGGCACCTAGGGCTCAGTCCTCAGTACTGCAAATGAATGAATGAATGCTGTTAATTTTGCTCACATATCTATACTTTTTCAAAATGTCTTTCAAAATTATCTGTCCTCTATTATTGCTATTGTTAGCTCATTTTATTCAGGCTGGCCTGGGCTGTGATCCGCCTGCTTAGGCTTTCCCATGTCGCTGGGATAATGTGTACCCCACTATGCCCAGCCATCACGCTTCCCCCAAAGCTAGGATAATACGTGTGTGCTGCTGTGTCCAGTCACTGATTGAGATGAAGCCTCACCAACTTTTATGTCTAGGTTAGCCCTGAACTTTGATCCTCTGATCTCCCAACTACCTCTGATTACAGATTTCAGCCACTGTGTCTGGCCTCTATAGAGACTTTGTAAACCCTTGCACAAAAAGACATTTATAAGAGCATCCAAAGCAATATGGTTTTAATTTTAAAAATTAAACCTGGATCAATCTAAATGTCTATAACAGTATAGATGAGTGTGGCAATGCAACAGTAAAGTAATACACGCATAACAAGGATGATTCTTTGAAATAACAGTAAGTCAATGAAAGCAAGCCACAGATTGTAGACAACTCAATGCCATTTTTATAAAGCTTAAAAATGAAGAAAATAGCTGAGTGTCGGTAGCTCATGCCTGTAATCCTAGCTACTCAAGAGGCTGAGATCTGAAGATCGTGATTCAAAGCCAGCCCAGGCAGGAAGTCTGTGAGACTCTTATCTCCAATTAACCGCCAGAAAACTGGAAGTGGTGCAGTAGCTCAAGTGGTAGAGCACTCACCTTGCGCTGAAGAGCTCAGAGACAGTGCCCAGGCCCAGAGTTCAAGCCCCACAACTGACAAGAAAAAAAAAAGTGAAGAAAGATAAACATTATAATGTTTCAGCCAGTGTGTAAAATGTGGTAGTGAAACCCCATCCCTGAGCAAGAAAAGGAATGAAGAAACAACAAGTACAATAATCAAAACACTAGTTACCTCCGGTGCTATGTAGACAGGATCAAAAAGCGACACTCAGGGAGCTTGAAGAGTTTATTAAATTAGGTGGTATATAGTTCATTATATTACTAAGCTATTCTATACCATATGTACGACATATACTTGTAATAAATATATAGTAATGTATAAACTGTGTGTGTGTAGCTTGGATCAAATAATACTAAGCCAAAATTGAGAAAAACGTGGGTGTAAAATGAGATTTATAAATAATACTTCTGTTTATGCAAAATATTTTTAATGTAACATTAAATGACAATTTAAAGATTTAGTGCTTCTTTCCAAAAAATTATTGCAAATACTGGATTCGTTACTATGGTTCCAATAGTCATAGTAACAGTAGAGGCCAAGGAAATGCTGTTGTGTATAAAAGTTGTTAAGGAATCAGATTTCACTTCGAAACAATTGATATTCTGGACTGTGTCTACCAGAAGAAGAAATATCAAGATGACCAATACATAAGTAAAAGCAAGAGTATTTCTCTATACCAGTAATAATCACAAAGAAAATAGCATCAAAACATTCACAGCAACTTCAGCCTCTATTATTGAGGCTTTGGACTGAGAAAGGTGATTGTAACATACATCCTGAGACATGCACATTGACCTTACTCAAGGGCCCCTTAGTCCCCTCTTCAGGCTTCTTAATAGTTGTCATTTCATCACAAGCCAGACACTTCCTTCACAAATGGAGCCTCAGACAAACCTCAGACTGTCCTTAGCCACCACTCTCAAGCCACTGATTACAGACAAGTGGCCTCCCCTTCCATTACCCCAGCAGATGTCTAATGCATTTGAACCACAAAATGGCTCCTTGCTTCTTTCCTAGCCTAGCTCCATCCTCATAATCTGTAACAGACAGATAGAAGGCCCCAAGGGAACAAAATATTTCCTTCCTGGATAATTTTAAAGGAAGGAGGACGATCTCTCTGCTAATGGAGAACATATCCGCAGATGGGCTCTGGCTTGCTGCTCCCTGATCGATCAGCTATGCTGCAGTAATGGAAATCCATGATGCTGTCTGAAGGCTGGGAAGTGTCACGTCCACCCAAAAGGATCTGGGGTTCTTCCCGCTCTGGCATTTTACTCAGAAGAATAATACACTGATGTTTTGGAACTATCTTGGATTCAGTGAAATTTTCAGAAATACATTCTCTCATAGATTCTATGCTGGTCTTTTAAGATGTGAAAGCAAGGAAAAGAAACATAGCAAAATTAAAGTGGCAAGTTGTATAGCTCAGTGGTAGAGCATTTTTCTAGCATGTACAAGGCCCTGGGTTCACCCCTCAACACTGAAAGACAGACAGACAAACAAGACAGATAAAGTCATAACTGAAGAGGCTTACTGCTCAGGAGTGGGGTGTGGGAAGTAGAGGAAATGTTTATGATCACCAAAGTATGAAATGAAACCACCACCTTTGAGGAGAAAAATCATGAGTGGCAACAGCACATACCTGTGCCTTAGCCCTTGGCATTGTCTCCTAGCATTAGTACAAGCCCCAGTAGAATCCAAAGGGGTCAAATCTCTTGACATTTCATTCAGAATATACCCAGGGCCAGTATTTTACAGTACCTGGACCTTAATTGGACAGAATTGCATAAGGAAGTAGAAGAGTTAGATTTAAATCTCAGAGGAAAAGACGAACAGCAGAACTTGCCCCAGATGTGAGCAGCGCTGGGAGTGGAGGGAGAGCTGTGGCTTCACTCACACTGCTGTGATTCCTGCTGGTTGGAGGGTAACAGGAGCACGGGCTTTCCAGCAGCATCCCTACCCTCATCCTCAAGCCAAGAAAAACACAACAATGTCAAGTTACCTGGTAATGCTCCTAAGACAGTTTTAAACCAGCTTCAGGCAGGAGGGACAAAGCCTCTGAAAAACCACTAAACCTCATCCACATCCCACCACAGTATTGGTTTTTTTTTGTTTTTGGGTCCGGTCATGGGGCCTGAACTCTGGGCCTGGGCGCTGTCCCTCAGCTCTTCAGCTCAAGGCTAGCGCTCTACCACTTGAGCCACAGCGCCACTTCTGGCTTTTTTCTTTTTGCTTATGTGGTGCTGAAGAATCGAACCCAGGGCCTCAGGCATGCAAGGCAAGCGCTCTACCACTGAGCCACCTTCCCAGCCCCACAGTATTGTTTTGTTCTGGGAATTCTGCCCTTAAACAAAATCACACTCATTAATATATAAGCAAATAAACAATCACTTTTATAGAATCATCTAACAAAGATGCCTCACCTGAGTAACCATGCAAACCCCACCAGGGAGGGCCCAAAGTTCAAAGCTTGCTTGTGATGTTTGCATCTGAAGAACTATGAAGTAAACACTCTGCAAACAGGTGTCAGCCATATTATCTAAATGAGGAGAACAGCCAGGGCTAGCTCAGCTTGGGGAAGTCAGGTCTCCAAAGACCTGTAGGATCTGAAGTGAAGGATCCCCACTGTAAGAGTCTCTGGAGTCACCTACCCTGGACAGGCCACCATCTCTCACGACCACTGTCTGGGTGGCTGTGAAAGTTAATGGGATGAAGCCTTCGCTGTCAGCACAGAGAACAATCCAGTGGGAATCTGCAAAGTAAAATGAACACACTGGCAATGTAGGATATCTTACTCAAATCTACAAAAGAAATGCCTACCAACAAAAAAGCTGACTACAAATATGGACTTTTTGAATGAATATAGTAGTTGATGACATCAAACTTCATTATCCTAAAGAAAATGGGGAGAATTACAGGAGTGAGCCGCTGGTACTCAGCTCAAACTATTTTTTAATGAAATAAATCTGGAGTGCCTTTTTCTTTTTGTTTTGTTGGTTGTGGGGTTTAAACTCAAGGTCTCAGTGCTGTCCCTATACTCTTTTGCCCAAGGCTAGCACTCTACCACTTTGAGCCCCAGCTCCACTTCTGGTTTTTGAGTGGCTAATTGGAGATAGGAGTCTCATGGGGGACTTTTCTGCCAGGGCTGGCTTCCAACCACAATCCTCAGCTCTCAGCCTCCTGAGTAGCTAAGATTACAGGTGTGAGGTGCCAGCCCGCTGTAAGCTTTTTTCTTTTTCTTTTTTAATGAAGTTTTTTTTTTTTTTTTTTTTTTTTGGGTCCGGTCGTGGGGCCTGAACTCTGGGCCTGGGCTCTGTCCCTCAGCTCTTCAGCTCAAGGCTCGGGCTCTACCACTTGAGCCATAGCGCCACTTCCGGCTTTTTTCTTTTTGCTTATGTGGTGCTGGGGAATCGAACCCAGGGCCTCAGGCATGCAAGGCAAGTGCTCTACCACTGAGCCACCTTCCCAGCCCTGTAAACTTTTTTCTTAAAAAAAAAAATTAGTGCAACAGACATATGAGACATTCTGTTTCCTTACTATTTAATTCTTTTCTAGTTTTTCCACTTACACACTTAGATTTTTTCCACTAAGGATGTAAATTTCCTAAGATACCACATTTTCTATATGTTCCAACACCTCTAATACATTACATAGTTAATAATACTTGTTCACTATTTAGCAAGCCCCTGGATGATGCATATGTGTAAAACACATGGTAGAGGGAGGGAGGTTCTGAATTCAACCTACCATGCAGCATTTCGACAAGGGAGAGACCGAACAGCTGCTGAACCGCACTGAGTCTTAGCTTGCCATTGCAGAGAAGCACGGCTCTTTTTTCAGCAGGACCAACAAAACAAGGCTTCTTCCAAAAAAAAAAAAAAAAAAGTGGTTAAACTGGTTGCAGAAATAATCAAGTTACCATTTCTTAAGAATAGAATGTGAATGCTGGATGCCACTGGCGGCTCACCCGGGTCATCCTAGCTACTCAGGAGGCTGAGATCTGAAGACTGTGGGTTGAAGGTAGACCAGGCAGGAAAAGCACATGAGACTCTTACTTCCAATTAACCAGCAAAAGGCCAAAAGTAGAGCAGTATGTTTCTATATGAAAAGTTTTGAATGACTAAGGATGGATTCGATTTATTTATTCATTCATTCAATTTAATTTTTTTGGTGGTACTGGGGATTCAACTCGACCTTAAACTTGCTGGGCAGGCATTCTACCACTTGAACCACTCCACTAATCCTTTTTTGTATTATTTTCAAGATAGGGCCTTGAGTCTGGGCTGTGACCCTATGTGTACTTCCCTGTCAGATACCCAGCCCTTGTGCTCCCCTATTTTGGCATGAAAGCATCACCTTGCTCAATCACTGACTTAGATAGACTCTTGCTTGAGCTAGATGGTCCGGCGGAAATTTGTTTTATTGTTTGGGATATGGTCTATGTTACCCAGGAGGTGCCAAGCAATCTTGCACCTCAGCCTATATGCTGGCATTGATGATTTGAGGAGGAAGGGGTGCAGGAATGGGTTTGTAGCTCTGGCTGGCCTGGAACTCACAGCCTGCCTGTCACAGCTACATTAATTCTATGATTATGAGCATGCGTTACTACATTTGGCTTAAGATGAATTTTCTTTTTCTTCTCTCCTCAAACACGAAAACATACTCTAATCTATTCATAATGGTGAGATAAGGAAAAGGAGTCTTTTATTTATCTATTTATTTGGCCAGTCTGCCATAGTGCCACTTCCGGCTTTTTCTGTTTACGTGGAATCGAAGCTGGGCTTCATGCAGGCTAGGCAAGTCTTCTACCACTAAGCCACATTCCCAGCCTCAGAAAAGGACAGTCTTAAATGTGTACTGTTGTTGAGCACTGGTGGCTCACACCTGTAATCCTTGCTACTCAGGGGGCTGAGATCTGAAGACTAGGTGTTGAGGCCAGCCTGGGCAGAAAAGTCTGTGAGACTCTTATTTCCAACTAATCAATGAAAAAGCCAGAAGTGGTGCTGTAGTTCCAGTGGTAAAGTGCTAGCCTCAAGCAAAAGAGCTCATGGACAGTGCTCAGGGCCTGAGTTCAAGCCCCAGGACTGGTCAAAAAAAAAAAAGGTGCATTGTTAAGTAAATCTCTGATAGGAAGTCTAGTAACAACAAACAATTCCATTTTTGAAAAACAATCCCACAGAAATAATGGTATTAAACCTAATGGGTAGCTGAATAACTCCACTGAATAAGGAAGTTTTCTTTTCTTTTTTTTTTTGGGTCCGGTCGTGGGGCCTGAACTCTGGGCCTGGGCAATGTCCCTCAGCGATTCAGCTCAAGGCTAGCGCTCTACCACTTGAGCCACAGTGCTACTTCCGGCTTTTTCTTTTTGCTTACGTGGGGCTGAGGAATTGAACCCAGGGCCTCATGCATGCAAGGCAAGCGCTCTACCACTGAGCCACCTTCCCAGCCCTGAATAAGTAAGTTTTCTGTTGTTTGTGTGAAGCAGGATCTCACAATCACAGAATTTCCTCTGCAGCCAGGTTGGCCTCAAAACTCAATCCTCCTACCTTAGCCTCCCAAAGGCTGGAATTACAGCTATGTATCACTATGCAAGGCTTAAGGTTTTCACAATGAAAGAACACAATTAATATGTACACACATATACATATTCCTAAATATAAACTACCAGAGTGTAGTATGGTCATTCATTTTTCTCACAGCAAAACACAATAAAACCATGGTGTATACTGGTATGACTTGGTTTGTAGGCTGACATCCAACCAACCTGTAAAAGTATATCAACTTGCCTATCAGGTATATAACATCCTCGCATCAGTTCATTTCAATTAGAGCACCTCTTCCTCAATGTATTTTTGGCAGTATCAACGCCTGTAGGGGCTTGTATGTAAATGGCTGCTCCTCAAAGAAGCAGTTACCTGGCAAATGATGTAAACGTAAGGGGGATCCTGGGAAAGCGGGTACACTGGAGAGGATTTCTTCTTGGTATTCATGTATTCATGTACAAAGTCCATGAGCTCAAAAATATACTGCTGCATTTCAGTCAGTTTCCTGGATAAAATCTCCAGTTCCTTGGCGAGCTGATGGGTTTCCTTTTCCTTTTGTAAGTTCTCTTTTGGAGGCACATGGGGAGGTGCTGGCATGCTGGCGTGGTCGGACAATCTGCTGGGTCTGGACAAGGTTGCCCAGATCCAGGAGAACTTACGGAGTGTTTCCAGGGCACTGGGATCCTCGGAGACAGTGGGCGGGGGACTGGTGATTTCTCTACCAAGGGTTCTTCCGGGCCTCGCCTTCTGGTAACTAGCATCAGCTGTGAATAAGGGCTCCCTGTTTTGGTGACAAACATCTGGGGAAAGATTGTTACTTAACATTTCTCTACGTGCTTTATTAAACAGAGCACTGAAAGCAGAGTAGGTACTTCGGCTTTCATTGGATGCCACTAAGGATTCATCTCTGCCCACATTTTCCAACACCACTTGTTTAACAATCAAGCGAATGAAAAACTGATCGGACTCTGAAGAAGGGAGAAATGCAGTATCAGTGGACTTTTGTTTTCCTACCAAAATTAGTAATAATGTGTCTGTCAAGAAACATATGCCCTTTGGCCTTTCATTACTCTCTAACTGAATTTGCTGGATGTTTGCCATAGAAGATGGAATGACAGAATAGATCAAAATTATATTACAAGTATTGGAAGCCACTGCTATGATATGTGCTTTAAGATTAAATGCTATTAGATCAGGAACCAGAATGCCTGGAATGGTGGCTTTCCTGGTCATAGTAACTGCCTTCTTAAAGGTCACAAGGACCAAATGGGAAGAATCCTGGCCTGTTCCTGTCAGGTAGTCTTTTTTGGAGAGATAAATAAGGGGACTCCTTTCAGACGTAGGTCGGTTGAATCGTATATGAGTTAGATCCAGGGGATCAGAAAAGGTAGGAGAAACCGAGATTTCATTAGGAGACACTGAGTTTTCTGATTTTGTTTCAGGACCGGTTGCTCCCTTATCTGCACAGGGCCCTTTACCAACAACTGGAAGAACGGGTGGACCCGAGTCTTCCCCATTGTGGGGGACATCAAGGGTTTCGGCTGCATTCAGCCTACAGAGCTTATCTAGTGGAAGCTCAGTGGTTACAGCAATCTGGGAGTCCACAGTGGCTCTGATGGAGCACACACTGCTGTCCACATCAAACACTGGGCAGAAGGAGCACTTGTCAAGTGTCTTCTGGTAACTGTCCCAAATGTAAGAATGAAGGCTGCTGCCTACGGCCACCACCAGCCTCTGCCCATCCGGGGTCCAACATGCGCAGTGAATGCGGCCTTGGGTGTTGATGTCTACTTTTATCCGGGAACCATTAGGGAAATGAATGTCAGGGAAAACAGAGATATTCTGTACAGTCAACACCACCAAGACAGTGTTTTTAGGGTGCCACACACAGCCCTGGGGAAGGATAGGGAGTGATTCTTTAATCTCCGAAATCTGAGACATTGGCCATTGGTTGGCGCCTGTAGTGCTAACACCCAGCTGCCACACAGTGACACGCTTCTTATGCTGGACAGCAAGGAGACTGGGCACATCAGCTAGGCCTGGCGGGGCCCAGGAAAGCCCACAGACTTGTTCAAATTGTCCAAGAACTTTGGATTCCCCAAACCTGGCCTCTCCGCTGTGAAGCTTCAAGTCAGTCAGGACTACTTGGCTCCCATCGGTCCAGGCAAGGCCATGGCTTGGGTGGATGGCTTGATTCAATATGTTCAGTCCAGTCCTGAGCAAGTTTCCTTTTCCCAACTCCATCCTTTCTCACCAAGGTTATCTGAAATGATTAAGAAGGAACAAATTATCAGGCATTTCCAGAGTACAGAACATGAACCCCTCACGGACGAATACTGTTGGGGGATAAAAGGACAGAAGAAATGTCACAAATAAGAAACTAAATACAAATTTAAAAAATGAGATTGCAGGGCTGGGAAGGTAGCTCAGTGGTAGAGTACTTGCCCTGCATGCCTGAGGCCCTGGGTTTGATTCCTCAGCACCACATAAGCAAAAAGAAAAAAGCCGGAAGTGGCGCTCTGTGGCTCAAGTGGTAGAGCGCTAGCCTTGAGCTGAAGAGCTGAGGGATAGAGTCCAGGCCCAGAGTTCAGGCCCCACGATCAGACCCAAAAATAAATAAATAAAAAGAGATTGCAAAGCAATAATGAGCAAATGTTATAAACTACCACCAGAAAAGGGACAGGCCAGGTACCAGTGGCTCACGCCTGTAATCTGAGCTACTCAGGAGCCTAAGATCTGAGGATCATTATTTGAAGCCAGACCTGGCAGGAAAGTCTGTGAGACTCTTACCTCCAATGAACCACTCAGAGGCCAAAAGTGGAGCTGTGGGCTCAAGTGTTAAAAGCACCACCCTTAAGTTAAATAGCTAAGGAAAGTGTCCAGACCCTGAGTTCAAGATACAGTATACTGGGGCTGGGAAGGTGGCTCAGTGGTAGAGTGCTTGCCTTGCATGCCTGAGGCCCTGGGTTCAATTCCTCAGCACCACATAAGCAAAAAAGAAAAAAGCCAGAAGTGGTGCTGAGGCTCAAGTGGTAGAGCGCTAGCCTTGAGCTGAAGAGCTGAGGGTCAGTGCCCAGGCCCAGAGTTCAGGCCCCACGACCGGACCCAAAAAAAAAAAGATACAGTATACTGCTTCCCCCCCAAATATGTCACATAAATTGCTTTTTTTTTTTTGCCAGTCATGGGGCTTCAAGTCTGGGCCTGGGTGCTGTCCCCAAGGTCTTCAACTCAAGGAAAGCACTCTACCACTTGAATCAGAATGCCCCTTCTGGTTTTTCCTAAGCAGTTTATTGGAGAGGAGAGTCTCATGGACTTTCCTGCCAGCCTGGCTTTGAACTATGATCCTCAGATCTCAGCCTCCGGAGTAGCTAGGATTATAGGCATGAGCCACCTAGCCTTTTTCCTATTAGTTTGTGTCCTTTCTGTTCATTTTGTGAGACTTGTTTTTCTAAAAAAATTACTGCTATAGCCTGGTGGCTTGGCCCTTGCTAATTACATTTCAGTTATATTATTTTCCAGCTGCACTTTAAGACATCTGGTTAGAAGTTCCTTGGATTTTAATTACATCCTTTTGCAGATTGTGAACCTGAGCTCAGCCAATCTGAGCAGAGGGGCAGGGCCTGCTGGGTTAGGAATAAAAAGGGAGCAGCCTGCCTGCCAGTTCTGAGTTCTCCTCTGCCACATTTTTGGCTGATGGTGCATCCTTCTGCAGAAGTAAATTTTGCCTTGCACAGTTCTTTTCAAGTTAGTGTCCTTATTCCTATGCAACACCTCGACATCCTGAGCTATTTCTAACAATGTTAGCATTTTTACAAGTAGTGATGTTATTTAATTTCTTTTTTTTTTTTTTATTTTTGGTCGGTCGTGGGGCTTGAACTCTGGGCCTGGGCGCTGTCCCTCAGGTCTTCAGCTCAAGGCGAGCGCTCTACCACTTGAGCTACAGCGCCACTTCCGGTTTTCTGGTCGTTTATTGGAGATAGGAGTCTCAAGGTCTCTCCTGCCCGGGCTGGCTTTGAACCGCGATCCTCAGATCTCAGCCTCCTGAGTAGCAAGGATTACAGGCGTGAGCCACCAGCGCCCGGCAATTTTGTTTAAATTTTAATAAGTATCTATTGGGTCTAAAAAATATGCTTTCATTAAGTTATCTGGTTGACATGCTCTTTATTATCAGCCTATTTCTCAGAAGTCAGCTATGAGAAAGCTGTAGTTTTTGTACTTTATCTTTCAGTCTTTATTATTACATTTTATTCTTAGCTTTGATGACACATGTATCAACTGACTGAATTTCAAAATTAAATGTACCTTAAGCAATTTTTCACTATAAGTTAGACTATTTAGCATATTCTTTAAAAAGTTAATAAATTATTAGATTTCAACATGACTATTGAGATATTACAACTTAGCTCAGTAGCATTTCTTCTTTCTTTTTTGTCATTCATGGGGCTTGAACTCTCCGGGCCCGGGCATTGTCCCTCAGCTCTTGAGCTCAAGGCTAGCGTTCTACCTCTTGAGCCAGGTAGCGCCACTTCTGGTTTTCTGAGTGGTTCATTGGAGATAAGAGTCCCACGGAATTTCTTAACTGGGCTGGCTTTGAACCGTGGTCCTCAGATCTCAGCCTCCTGAGTAGCTAGGATTACAGGTGTGAGCCACAGGTGTCCAGCTCTTGTTGCTATTTTTATAAAATATTAAAATTACATCATGATTTATCAGTATTATTTTTGTCCCCATGACTAAAAGGGCAATGTGAGTTCTTTTCGTTAAATACACTTATAAGTGTTGTGTTATCACCACTATCAACCATCTACATAATGTCCCCCACCCCCTCCCATCCTGGGGCTTGACCTCAGGGTCTGGGAGCTGTCCCTGGGCTCCCCCCCACCCCTACCCCTACTAGCACTCTACAACTGAACTGGAAAGTCCTTGAGACTCTTCCAACTAACCACCAAAATAAAAGGGAAGGGGAGCTCTGGCTCAAGTGGTAAGAGTACTAGCTTTGAGAAGAATGAGTTCAAGCCCCAGGAGACACACACACACACACACACACACACACACACACACACACACACACACACACACACACACACACACACACACACACACACACACACACACACACACACACACACACACACACACACACACACACACCAGGCACTGAGTTCAAATGGTAAGAGTACTAGCTTTGAGAAGAATGAGTTCAAGCTCCAGGACACACACACCACACACACACACACACACACACACACACACACCAGGCACTGAGTTCAAATGGTAAGAGTACTAGCTTTGAGAAGAAGAATGAGTTCAAGCTCCAGGACACACACACCACACACACACACACACACACACACACACACACCAGGCACTGAGTTCAAATGGTAAGAGTACTAGCTTTGAGAAGAAGAATGAGTTCAAGCTCCAGGACACACACACCACACACACACACACCACACACACACACACACACATACACATACACACACACACACACACACACACACACACACACACACACGCCATTGATTACAGCTTAACTGACTAGTCGGTTACGGCTGCCTTGGTTAATCTACACCGGTGGGATCTCTGGGCCCGCGCAGGGCCTCACCCAGGTCGGCGGCCTGGGCATCTTTATTCGCGCGGCACCCCGTCCGTGACACCTTTTCACTCGGACCGCACGGCGGCGCTTCCCGACGCGGTCTGACAGTTGGAGCAACTCCTTTCTGGAGCCATTTCACAGTCCGCACTCCGGAGGACACGCGGCCGGCCACTACACGAAACGCCGCGGCCAAGTCTTCGCGGGGGAAGCGTTTTACTTCCAAAGTCTCCTTAAGGGGTAAGGAGCGCCCTCGAGCCACGGGAAACACACGGCCCGGGCCAAACCCGCGCCGGCCGGGCCGCCCCCCGCTCCCACGCGGCGCCCCACGCTCCCAACTTGGACGTCTCCGCCCCCATCCTCCCAGCGCCGCCCAAGGCTCTCCCCGCCCACCCACAGCTCCACATCCGGCCCGCAGCAAGCACGGGAGACACAATACCTTTACTCTCGCTGCCCCCCCACACGCACAGAAACATTGGGGTCCCCGACGCAGCCTCGGGGTCGCAGAATGGGAGATTAGGAATCCTGGGCAGCTAACGGAAGCAGCAGTTTCCCCTCCATCCCAGTCCTCTGATTGGTTAGTGGAGTCTGGGGCCGGCTCCGCAGTGCTTCCTGACGATTGGCTTGTGGATGTGTCATGTTAGGAAAGTGTCCTTCCAACTGGCCAATAGGCTCTGACTTTGTTGCAAGCATTTCTGGAAGTTGTAGTTCTAAAAACCACCGATTGCAAATCAGCCTGAATTTCTTCCACCCAAATGTTTTAACCCGTTCTCCAACTTCTCGTCGTTTTTTTTTTCTTGATCTAAGTCGGAACCACAGAGTCAAAAGAGTATCTTAATACTTTTGGTCTTTCCTGAAGGAGGGAAGAAGTTTGGAGCCCCTTGGAAATCCCATCAATTTGACTCTCTTCCTATTCGCCCCTCTCATCACACACAAAACACAATGTTCTTAGGCACTTATTTTAACGTGCATTGAAAAGAACCCTCTCTGTAGGCCTGTTCAAATGACAAACCTCTGTTCTACACTCACTGTCAACATACTGCTCGTCGTCAGAGCCAGTGGTGGCTGTTAGGCTTCATTACTTGGAAACTTTGGGCCACATCTTGAAGCACCCATGGAGGATTTGAGATCCTCACCAGTCAAGGATACCGATGGCCTTGTCTGTGAGCTAACCTCCTGCAAGAGTAGAGGATGGGGAAATGGAGGAGAAACCCCTCAAGGATCCATTTTGGGTGCCTTTGCTCAGGCAGAAATTTCTCTTCAGACCTTCCACTTCACAGGTCAGAAGTAAATTGAGATGGAATTCTTGGATTCTTGGAACAATGCGGGTTAGAATGACTAGAGAAAAAAAAAACAAACCACAAAGGTTCTTAAACTCCCCTTTGTTCTTCAAACAAATGTTGCCTCTGGCAAATTTCGTTCTAGAGAGTGTTTACCTCTATTGGCTTAGCAAGTCTGAAGGTCCGGTTCCATCTTCAGCTCCATGAATGAATGTATGAATGAGTGAATGAATGAATGAATGCGAAAGCATCTTTCAAGATTCCTGGGTCTGTTTTGAAGGTGAAAGAATTCGCTCCCATCTTCCACAGCACTCATTGCTCAGGGCTGCTTCTGTCTGGGTCCTCAGCTAGTTTTTGTGGGACAGTTGTTTAGTCTTCAGTCAATGGGTGTCCCCAGGGAGCAGTTCTTCGCTTTGAAAAGTGAGAAGTCCGCGCCCTCCCCCCCTCCCCCAACTCAAGTGCACGGAACAGAACTGCTGTGGGATGAGGGAGAGTCAACCTTCACCGGGACCTCCTCGCGCCCCCCGCCCAGCTCCCGGAGCCCACTAGCTGTCAGGTAGGTACCGCTCCCCGGCCTCCGCAGTGCCCTGACTCCCGGCGTCGGGCACGTCTGGCTGAAGCGTGGGTTTAACTGCGGGCTCTCTCCTAGTCTGCTGGGCGTTGATTCCCCCCCCGGAGGTTAGCAAGGAGTAGATGCTAAATAAAGGCGTGCGGCCCAGACGGTGGGCGTCGCGGCGGGGGCGTCCGCACGGCCCCCTCCACCCCAGCCGGTGGGGTCGGGATCTGGGGTCGGGAGAGCCGCCGCGTCAGGGCCCCCCTCCCCGGGCCCCGCCCCGGCCCACCCCACCTTTCCCCGCGGCTCCACCCCGCCGCCCCCTCGCCGGTGGCCCCTCCCCGCGCAGGTCCCGGCTCCAGCCGCACCTCCTCCGGCTCTGCAGTGGCGGCGGCGGCGGGGAGACGAGCCCGGAGCTCCTGCGGGGTCGGGCCGGAGCCGGGGTCGGGGCAGCGGCGAGGACCCCCCCGGAGGCGGGGCCTGCGGGAGCGCGATGGGCGTGGAGATCGAGACCATTTCCCCGGGAGACGGTACCGGGCGGGCGGCGGGGCCGGGGGAGGAGCCCGCGGGCCGGGGTCTGATTCCGAGGTGGCCGGGGTGGGGGTGCCCGAGGGGAGGGGGCGGGATGAGGTCGGGGACCCGCCACGCACACCCCGAGGAGGCTCCTGGGCGCCCCGGAGACCCTCGTCCCCGTCCCCCTTCTGCACCGGCTCACCCAGGGGGACGGCGGCCCGGCCGGGGGTGGGCCGCGGACCCCCCCACTCCCCGTCTCGGGGCCGCCGCCTCCTGCGCTGGAAGCGCTCGGTTATCCGCGGCTGCCGATCTCCCAGGGTCGGATTTCAGCTCCGCGTACCCTGCCTGGCTGAGCGAGCTCTGGAAACCGGGGGTGAGGACGGACCTGCGGGGGGGGGGGGGTTCCTTCGTAACCTGCCCCACCCCGCCAGGCCTCCCGTGGACGGCCTCTCCCCCCGCCGGGGGCTGGGCGCAGACCTTCGGCCCCCGTCCCCGCCCCTGCATCTCCATCCTCCCCGGCGCGCTCCGCCTCCCTGGCCATCCTGTCCACCCGCATGGCCTCCACGGTTACACCTCAAAGCCCAGGCCCGCGACCTGCTGCTCCACCTGCTTGGATGGCCTACGATACCTTAGAGGGAGGAGTCCTAAACAGAACTCTCCCTCTGCCGTGCTCGTCCCCAAGTGCTCCTCCCGGTTCCCGGCTCCGGCTCCGTGTCCAGGGGCCGTGGGCACCTCCTACCTTCCCAAGCCCTTAGGTAACGGGGTGTGAGATGCAAAGGATGGTTACTTCGTGATTCCTTCTGTGGGATTCGATTCGCACTCCCGGTTCCCCATCTCCGCAGGACTTGGTAGGCAAACTTCCGGTTGGGTATTCCTGACACCACCTGCTCCCCCTCCAGGAATTGGAGGTTTCCTGGCTCCAGGCGCCCTCTTTGTTGAAAGGCAGTGGTATCTGGAAGGACCAGCCCCTACCCAGATTGCCCTTGGGGTACACACTTCTTTGTCCACTAAGGATACGTTGACACAGGGGCCAAGATGCATCTTGCAGAGCCTTGAACAATCCCGCCCCCCAGCCTCTGAACTGGCTCCCCAACTTTCAGTCTCATCTCTTCATCCTTGGCCTGGCTGCCACACCTTACTCCCCTCCTCTTCTTGGCAAAGTTACACCCCCCTCCTCCAGCTTCACCAACCTCCCTGAGTGCTGTTAAACACACTACCCATTCAGCAAATATTTATGGAACATGTACTGTGTGCTGGACCCTGGGTTACAGGGTGACACAGGGTTCCCATTCTGGCTGGACTCGGCTTTTTTTCTTTCTTTTTTTTAACCTCTTGGCCTTGCTGTGGATCAGATTCAGGTGTTCTACCACTGAGTCACATCCCTGGCCCTGGATTCTTGGCGGTTGAAAATGTGTTGTGTGTCATGTTCTCTCCCATATTTCATTCCTGTACATCCTCTCTCATCTCCTTTGTCGTTTGAACCATTATGGCTCTGTGATGCTTTTTCACTTGGATGTCCCTTTTCCAGGCTTCTGCCAGCCTTTAAATATTGGCTATGCTGTTTGCCTTACCAAGCTTCCAACATTTATTTATTGTGCCAGTGTTGGGGCTAGAACTCAGGGCCTAAGCACTATCCCTTTGCTGTTTCCTTTCCGGCGTGCTCTCCCACTTGAGCCACAGCTCCACTTCCCCCTGTCCCCTTTTTTGTGACTTGAAGGAAGAGTCTCTACCAAGGCTGCCTGAAGCCTCAGATCTCAGCCTCCTCAGTAGCTAGGAATATAGGCATGAGCTACCGGGGCTCAGCTTCCCTCCATAGCTTTAAATCCCACTCAAATGCGTCCCTTCAGTACAGACTTCTTGTCTTATAAATTCTGATATCTAGTAAGAACTTCATGATTGCCACCTGCATGAATCTGTTCTTCCCCACCAAAGGAAAGAGTCCCACCACAAATCCCTGTGCCTAAACTAGAAACCTAAACATTGTTCTTGGGTTTGTTTTTTTTTTGCCTTTTCCCCCATCCTGAATTCCATCTTCAATCCATTTGTATGTCTGGTTAGCTCCACAACCAAAATACATCACCAATCTAGTCTACTCTCTCTTCTGCCACCATCTTAATTCATGCCATCATTGATTTCTTGTCTGAATTATTGCAACAGATGCCTCGCTGTCCGTCCCACACACAGCAGCCAGAGTGATCTTATAAAATCTTAATTCAGATTATGTCATTCTCTTGCTTACAACCCTCTAGTGGCTGGTTTCCTGTTGCTCGTAGTATTCAATCTGGCACTGTAAGCCCCACTTCTCCTCTTCCTCTCCTTTTCAGTCCCCAAGCCTTCTTTGATTGTGCAAATGTTCCAGTCCTTTCTTCCGTGAGGTCTGTGCACTGGTTCTTCCATCTTCCCTCAAGTCCCAGTTCAAGCATCACCTCCTCTAAAAGCTCCTCCTAGACTGCCTCTTATTTTTTTATCTTTGACTGGTCCTGGGGCTTGTACTAGGGGCCTGGGCCCTGTCCCTGAGCCTCTCTGTGTTCAAGGCTAGAGTTCTACCACTTGAGCCACAGTGCCACTTCCAGGTTTTTGGTGGTTAATTGGAGATATGAGTTTCACAGACTTTCCTGCCCAGGCTGGCTTTGAACTTCCATCCTCCCATCTCAGCCTCCTAAGTAGTAAGTATTACAGGTGTGAGCCATTGGCACCCAGCTGGACTGCCTTTTCTAAAATTACTGGTTCATTGTGTCTTAAAGTCATAGTTATGTTTATTTTGTTTAGAAGACTTATTTTGTTTAGAAGACAATCCACATATGTCTTCTAGAGTTAAGGACTGTTTGTCTCCCTCCATTAAAATGTAAACTCCAGAAGAGCAGGAACTTAATCACTGCTGTGCTTCCTGGGATCAGGCAGGCCTAGGACATAGATGGTACTCAATAAGCAGTTGTAATTGTGTTTATTCATGCTGGAAACAGTGAGGGTTTACATGTTACCATTAACATCTTCTTTCTTCCTCTTTTTGTGCCAGTCCTGGGGCTTAAGTCAGGGACGGGGGCACTGTCCATAAGCTGCTTTGCTCAAGGCTCTGGCACTTGAGTCACAGCTCTTCTTGCTTTTTGGTATTGATAAGTCTCATGGACTTTCCTGCCCGGGATGGCTTTGAATCATGTTACTCAGATCTCAGGCCCCTGAGTTGCTAGGATTATAGGTGTG